GTGTAGGTCCAATCGGAGTCTCTCTCTGTGTGTAAGCTGAGTTGCTTGTTGACAATGGCATATTCGTAGCACACAGTTGTTCGACATTGCAATAGTAAGCCGGTGCAGAATGATGCAAATAAGTGATGCTTTTCAAAGTGGTTCAAGTTAGACGTCCCGTCGCCTCTATAGTCGTGTAAACATTTACCACGAGAAAGCCACTGTTAGAGATTTTTTTAGCAGGCAGCTCTGCTGAAGCCGGCCAGCGAGAGTTCGTAGGCTGCCACGTTTCCTTCTCATTTGAAGGCAGAGAGCTTCGTTTGAAAGTTCCTATTCATTAGTCTTAATTAATGTCCGTTACCCCTGGATCGCGTGGAATGTCTTGCATGGCGAGACTTGAACAAGTGATTTGAAACTTTCTAGTCAGGCTCTCAGCCGTCCATGGTACCGTGTCACATTCGCAGCTTTTAATAGCTTAAAAGCAGCATGTTTCTACAAAATAAAGAGGTTCACAGCTCTTGTTTTAGCTAGTTTCTATCTTACCCAGGCGCCTAATTTGTTCATAGGAGCTTAATAAGCAGTAAAGCCTGTCAGTCTTCATCAGGCCCTCTGGTCGTCTGCTACAAACAAAGTTCACACAACACGGCAGCATTTGAAAAACATCGTTGACTGAACAGAGAGCCAGTTGAATTGGTTGCCTAGACAACACCTGTGTCAATTTTGAGTACGAATTGTGGCTTTAATGTAATTATCCCAGTCTTCTGTTTACTTATTTCTCAGGGATTATCCAAATGAAAAAGTCTAGTATAAGTATTTTCAAGCCTACTTTAGGACGACTAATGCCTATAAATTAGCACGTGCGGTCGATTACAGCCTGTCCTCACGGTGTGTCTACATCTTCATATTTAGTGTTAAAAAAATAGCAAAGACCTTTGGTCTGCAATCCTAATATGGACGATGATGCTTCGCGTAGTCTTCCATTACAATAAGTATAAAAAACATGTTTTTATCTTAGCTCATTATCGCGTCATAAAAAGTCGCCTTGTCTCATCCGCTCTCATATTAAATTATACCTTTGTTTTGTTTTAGATCAAAGTGAGGACATTTTCTTATAACTAAGCCCATACAAGAGCAAATAACTTGAACGTTGCGTTCAAAGCTCGCATCAATTTCACTTTTGTTGTTTACTAGCTGGACATCTAAAAGACTTACATATGTGCTTCATTATTCAATGTAAAAACTACCCTGAATAAAAATTGGACCGTTAGAAGATGGATGGGGAGTCAACTGATCGGCCTGTTTCTCTAGTTTATTTTAGCGCTAGTTGTTAAAGTATAATTCATTTTAATGATAGGTACTTTGTTATGAGACATGCATTCTGTCCTTAGTCCTGCGGTGTACCTTTCCAAACTACTAAGAAAAGCTATTTTTTCTAAAGAGTATGTCCCGTGGCGTTTGAGGCGTTCCTGACTCGTCTACTAGGAGTCTGAACAGCTCGACCTACCTTACTTTGAAACGGTAAAGGATTACCTTAAACCTAACTAAACTGTATGCAAACTGTTTGCATGCAGCACTGGGCTAGAAAGAACAAAACTAGGAGGTTAAGGATGAAGGAAACAGAGGACAAAAAATGTGGGTATTGTGTATCTACATGAAGGTGTTCAGCGATTGTTACCACATAACAGCACGTAGCGCCGTTGACGTGTCATCATGCAAAATGAAAGTTGTCTCAGATCCCCGATATGTTCAACAAGTCCACTAACTTCAAAACGTTGAAAAGCGTGTGGATTCCGGCTTGATTTAGCCCAAATCTTCTGATAGTTTCCTTTTTGGCCCGATGAGGCATAGATTGCATGTAGCTTTTGCATGTAGCGCTGAGCTTAAGGCGTAGTCCTCCGTCACGTAATTATTGCGGGAGCTACACATGCTTTTAAAGGACTCAAGGTATCTCCTGAAGTTAATGAAGTTAACTTACTGTCACATAGCCGCTAAGCGAGACTGCTGAATTGTCCAAAGAAAACTTTTAGGCGTGTTGTAAATTTGATTGGTAAATACAAGTCATGGCTATATATGTTGTTGGAACAAGGTAGCGTGCAATTGTGTGCACCCACCAATAACTGAAAAGGTAGGAAGTAATACTTTCCCTTTGCACAAATAATATGGTGGGAGATAGCTTCAGCTGTCGCTAAATTAAATCAGGTTGTTATTGCATATGGTATAAAGCACCAACCAACAATAAAATTAATCTAAATTCTAAATCTATTTCCAAGTGTCTATTTGCTGTTCATGCACAATGTAACCACTATATATTGAGGTTTTTCCAGCTAACGCTTTATTTACTGTTAGATTTTTGTTCAGTGACTCATTAAGTAGACAAATTAACCTTCCTAAAAATAAACTACCTAATTATTTTCCATATGAAGGTTGTGCGTCAGCGCAGAAATTTGTCGCTTTGCGCTAATCGTAAGATGCCTAAGGTTCCGCTTATCATTTTGTGACTACCTTTTAAAGGCGTCTATTTAAAAAAAAGGCGTAATTTTCATAAAAGCTTACAAATGTTCTTGCTTCTTACTAATGGTAGAGCTTTTAGGACAGATTAGCTCTATGTCAGCTATTACCTCTATTCGCTATGCCGCTTCACCGTTGAAGTCGTCACCGTCATGCAATCCGTAATTATAGTGGAGCATTAGTGCGCCTGTGGCCGACTATGCGCACGGACGTTCTTACCAATCCTACTGTGAGAGAAGGCCTTGCAGTAGCAATAATTCTTGCTTATACTTCTGTTAATTAGACGTGTTTTCTCATTGATAACAGTCACTGGTCCAATCAATTTGGTACAATTTTGCCCGAAATACAAATACTTGCATTCAACGGATAGCATAGAACGGGTTGGTGGATCGATGACGCCATTGCCTTTAACTTACTGTGCTGGGTGTAATTTACTTTTATTTGGAATAAAATTAAGTGAGCAGAATAATATCATTCGAGAATGCAGGTTGTGCACCAAACTTCACACTACGCCATCAGTAACTCCTCGTATGTTACATCCTCCTTTTTGTTAGACAGGGTACCACCGTGAATAATTCCGTTGACATCCGTCTACCAGGCACAGCGCTTAGTATCCATAGCGCCATGGGTAGCAGCTTTTAGTAAT